AATTTTACACAGGGCCTTAAAAAGATAAATAATATTCATTCAGCATTTCTATATTATACAACTGATATAAGTGCTTTTAGGTTTATCCTACTTTAGCCCCACACCATAGAAATCATCATTTTGTAGATAAGTAAGAAACTGAGATACAGAAAGATTAGATAACCAGGATCATAATTCAGCACATCTTCTATGAATAAATGCCTGACTGACTAATGAGTTCTGAAGACAATGACCATAATACAATGGTAATTAAACCGTACAGTTAAACTTTTCTTTTTCTTTTTTTTTTTTTTCTGAGCCGGAAAGAGTCAGAGAGATTTAAATCACAAATGATTTAGGTGACATAGAAAAGAACCAACAAACACAAATCTGGCCTTTAATACAACTGTTGGGAACTCATTGTCTAGCAAGCCTTTATTTTATTGCCAAATGCCCAAGCTTATTAAATAAATAAATAAATAAATAAACAAGGTACTTTGGCAGCTATCTCAAGTGCTCCAGCAAAATACTTCTCTATAGATAGGAAGGAACTCAGTTTTTAGAAGTAATCCACTCATTTGATAACAGTAAATGAACAGATATAAATTAGTGCCTATGATAGGAATAATGATAATTATAATTATTATAATCATATTAATAATACCATATGCCAGAGGTACCTAACCCCTAACACCTAGGTCATGGACTGGTACTGGTCAGGTCCATGGCCTGTTAGGAACTCAGCCACACAGCTCCTAACAGGCCATGGAGGTGAGCGGTGGGTGAGTGGGTGAAGCTTCATCTGTATTTATAGCCACTTCCCATCAGTAGCATTACTACCTGAGTTCTGTCTCTTGTTAGGCCATTAGTGGCATTAGATTCTCAGGAGCACAAACCTTATTGTGAACTGTACCTGTGAAGCATCTGGTTTGCATGCTCCTTATGAGAATCTAATGCCTGATGATCCATCACCGTCTCCTATCACTCTCAGATGGGACCACCTACCTGCAGGAAAACAAGCTCAGGGCTCCCACTCATTCTACATTATAGTGAATTGTATAATTATTTCATTGTATATTACAGTGTAATTATAATAGAAATAAAGTACACAATAAAAATAATGTGTTCGAATTATTCCAGAGTCAACCCTCTGCCTCCACCTGGCTGTGGAAAAATTGTCTTCTGTGAAACTGGTCCCCGGTGCCAAAAAGATTGGGGACCACTGCTGTATGCTATATAATCTTTAAAAATCAAATATCAAGTCTATTTTATGACATATTCTTTTTCTTAGCAACATTTAATCAAGGCTGTTCCTGAGGCCTAGCAATGATATAGATTTCATGGTAACCAGTGGCTTGCCTGGTTGTCCCTAAGCACTGGCTCTCAAACTTTTGTATTCTTCATGATCTTCTGCATGGCTTATTAGAACACATATTGCTAAGCTTCACCTCCAGTTTCAGAGGTATAGTGGGTCTGTGTGGTACTTGAGAAATTCTATTTCTAACACATTCCTAGATGACGTTAAAGCTGCCTGCCTAGGAACTGGATTTTGAGAATCACTGTACTAATCAATGAAGTATTGATTTGTCTCAGTATTAGTCCATTTACACACTGCTATAAAGACTTATATGAGACTGGGTAATTTATAAGGGAAGGAGGTTTAATTGACTCACAGTTCTGCATGTCTGTGGAGGCCTCAAGAAACTTACAATCATGGTGGAAGGCGAAGAAGCAAGTACCTTCATCACAAGGCAGCAGGAAAGAGAGTGTTTGAAGGAGGAACTGTCAAATACCTATAAAACCATCAGATCTTGTGAGAGCTAACTCACTAACACAAGAACAGCATGGGGGAACTGCCCCATGATCCAATCACCCCCGTCCCTTGACATGTGGGGATCATGGGTCCCTCCCTCAATATGTGGGGACTATAATTCGGGGTGGGATGTGGGAGGGGACACAGAGTCAAACCATACAGCCTCCTGTTTCAGATGTTTCCTGCTTAAAAAAGACATAAAGGCTTTAACTTCAAACTTGTTATGAAACCAATTCATTGAAAAAAATGACACTATAGGTAAAAATCACTTATGGTTTAACTTCAGAAATTTTTTTTACATATAGTCAGTTAGTATTTATTGATTATATGTGGCTGTGCTTGATGACCAATTCCATATCACTATGAGCTTAGTAAAATCTTCTAGTTTGTTCTGGCTTTTAGTTCTAGTAAGGTATACCAATGAACTTGGTTTCCCATCTTGGTGCTCATGTGGTCCTTGGGATCTGGCAGCAGATGCTCTCAGATATTTCTCCTCTTAATGGCTGGTTGTTATAGCACAAGGGCCTGCTTCCTTTATTCTTTCCACAGCACAGGGTCTTTGTCCTACTTTGTCCTGCTTTTCTCCCAGATAGTCCCATAGCTCATATCCTTCAAATCTTTATTCACAGATCAACTTCCTAGAGAGAGCTTTCTTAACTACCTTATTAACTCTTGAAACGGATCCCCCAAACTCCCTGTTCCCCTTCCCTGCTTTAATTTTTCTTTATAACTTTTGTCACCTGGCAACTTTTCATATATTTTTTCTCTATTATATTTTACTTATGATATGTCTCCCTCTATAAACTGATCAAAAAGCAGGCATTTTGTCTGTTCTGTTGATCAGCATACAGTAATATTTGGTAAATGGATGAATGAATTCTTTTTGACCTGTGAACATGAATGCATTATATTGCTCAATGATGAACTTAATTATTTTGCTCTACTTTGCAAAGTTAATTTTTCCTTTGGTCATTTTCTACCTGAAGCCAGGTGCTGCCAAGCTTCTAGGTCTTCTTAAGATTCGCCTTGGGCCACCTATCAAAAAAGACTGTGAAAATTTGCACCTTATTCTTTTCTGGCATGGTTCCAATTCCGGATATATTCATTTTTATTTACCAGTAAATAACATAAACTTCTGCCAACAACTCTACTTCTACTAATAGCCTTGATGTCATCCCCTTTGACCATCCCAGGAAACCTGTCACACTGATCATTTCTTGTTCTCCTGTTGCCTCAACCTATCCCTGCTGCTGTACGTCATCCAGCAGCAGGGATATGTCTCCTTCATTCATACAGGTTGAGTATCTCTTATCTAAAATGCTGGAACCAGAAGTATTTCGGATTTGGATTTATTCAGATTTTGGAATATTTGCATTATAGTTACCATTTGAGCATACCTAATCCAAAACTAAAGAATCTGAAATGCTCCAGTGAATGTGTTTCCTTTAACATCATGTCAGCACTCAAAAGTTTCAGATTTTGGAAGATTTCTGATTGTAAGTTTTTGGATTAGGGATACTCAACCTGTATTGCAACATTGCTTATATTCTCAATCAGCCTTCTTGGAAGTGTGGTCTATATTTATATTCTCCATTTATTTATATCTACACACTATTCTACCTACTGTATTTTGAATTGTACCCCCAAAATTCTATTAATTTTTTTAGTAATGTAATTCAGGATTTGTTGCAACTAAATGCAACAGATACTTTTCATTCTTTATCATGCTACTTGAAACATTCACCTTTTGTCTTTCATGCTATCTTTCATGGTATAGTTTCCTGGTTTTTCTTCTCTTTGGCCATCCATCCTTAAGCTAATTTATGGATTATCTCTTTTTGTATTCTTCCCTGTTGATCTCAGTCATGTTTATGGCTTTCGTTATCATTAATATATTTGATGACTTCCTAAATTATATCTCTAGCTCAAGAATTTCTCCTAAGCTTCAAATAATTGTCTGAACTGACAACTTATAACTGGATATCCCTCAAAAACCTCCAGTTCAATAGATCCACCTTTAAAAAACCATTCCTGTGTTCCTTTTCTTCCTCCTCCTCTTCTTCTCCTTCTTCTCCTTCTTCTTCAGATGAAGACTTGCTATGTCACCAGGCAGGAATGCAGTAGTGTAATCTCGGCTCACTGCAACCTCCACCTCCTGGGTTCAAGTGGTTCTCCTGCCTCAGCTTCCCGAGTAGCTGGGATTACAGGCATGCACCACCACACGGCACTAATTTTTATATTTTTAGTAGAGATGGGGTTTTACCATGTTGGCCAGACTGGTCTTGAATTCCTGATCTCAAGTGATGGACCCGACTTGGCCTCTCAAAGTGCTGGGATTACAAGCCTGAGCCACCATGCCCAGCCCTGTGTTCCTTTTCTCATCAAGTATCTTTCTCTTTTACCCAGTATAGCTAGAGGCTTGATACCGTCCTGAGTCATATCTCTTTTTCTCTCACTTCTCACATCATCTTTACTTGATCTCCGCAATAGAGGTTAAAGCAAAGTCTCTAGAAATATTCAAGAGTTCCTAATAAGAAAATAATTTTTAACTTTACCTGCCTTATTACAAGTAGTGATATTATATTATCTATCATTGTATTTTAAAATGGAGGAAGATATTGAGGACTGGATAAGTTTTAGCATGGTAAAATCTGTGGAAAATATGTAAAGTTGGCCAGGACTAGAACTGGAGACCTTTGAATCCCTGTTAGGTTTCTTTCACGGAGTTATTATTATTTTTAAACGAGGTCTCACTCTGCCACCCAGGCTGGAGGGCAATGGCTCAATCATAGCTCACTGCAGCCTCAACTTCCAGGGCTCAATCAATCCTCCCATCTTGGCCTTCCTAATTATTGGGATTACAGGTGTGAGCCATTACACCCAGCACCCCTGTCATGGAATATGCAAGAGTCTTCATGGATTGGATTTTCCCCCAGACATGATAAAAGTTTTCTTTTAGTTTGGCATGATCATTGCTTATCCTGGGGCACTGTCACAGGTTTCTGGCACACCAAACACCACCATAGTCATGCAGAATGAATGTGTTGAAGATAAGAAATGTGTGCCATCAGGGGAGGGCTGGGGGTTGGGGAGAGCATTAGGAAACAGAACTAATGCATGTTGGGCTTAGTATCTAGGTGATGGATTGATAGATGCAGTAAGCCACCATGGCACACGTTTACCCATGTAACAAACCTGCATGTCCTTCACATGTACCCTGGAACTTAACAAAATAAATAATAAAAAAAAATCTATATGACATATGTAGTATATAGCAGTATCAAGTTTTCCTTAGTATCAAGGTCATGATTCTGTTCACTGTCTCGCTCAACACTTTCTTTACCTTCTCATTTCTCAAGCTGTAGATAAAAGGGTTCAGGAGAGGGGTCACCACTGTGATGAGAACAGCAGCAACCTTGTCATAATCCAGCGAGGATTTCTGATTGGGTCTCACATACACAAAGATGTTGCTCCCGTAGGCAATGGAGACAACAGTGATGTGAGAAGCACAGGTAGAAAAAGCTTTCTGACGGCCCTGGTTGGAGGGGATACTCAGAATGGTGGAAATTATGCACACATAGGACCCAGTGGTGAATGCCAGGGAGCTCAGGATAACAAGAGCAGAGAGGAGAAGGTTTATCTTCTCAATGAGGTGAGTGTTTATACAGGCCACCTGTAGAAGAGGGGCAATGTCACAGAAAAAATGATTAATTTCTTTCCTACAGTAAGGTAGCCGTGTCACCACAATGGCTGGAACCAACACAGACAGGAAGGCTCCCACCCAGCATCCCAGAACCAACAGGAAGCAGGTCCTACTGTTCATGATGACAGTGTAGCGCAGTGGGTCACAGATAGCCACATAGCGGTCAAAGGACATCACTGCCAAGAGGATAAACTCCACTGTTCCCAGAAAGAAGTAGAAATATGTCTGGGTCATACAACCAGCAAAAGATATGGTTTTCTTTTCTCCTAGGAGGCACGCTAACAACTTTGGGGTAATGACGGTAGTATATAAGATATCCAGAAAGGACAAGTTACTGAGGAAAAAGTACATTGGAGTTTGCAGACGATGATCAATTCGTATCAGGGAGATGATGATGATGTTTCCTGTTGTTGTTAATGTGTAAGTTAACACAAGAAGCATGAAGAGAGATATTCGAATGTCCAGGAGAGCTGGGAAGGCAATTAGTGTGAATTCAGTCACAGTGCTCCAGTTTCCCATGTTGACCACTACATGGTAGGCAGGGTTTCCATGAAGAAACGAAAAAAGAAAAGTCAGCTTAGGTAATTTTGTAAATATCTGTGGAAGATGTATCGTGGCGAGTGTCTTATGTTGGGAGATGAGTCCTGGCAGGTAGGACTATCTGAAAGTTATTATTGTGCCACATTGGGACAGTCAAGATACTATTTAGGTACATGGTTTTTTTTTTTTTTTTTCTGTAAAATAATGTGATAAGGCTGGACAAAAAAGTCTAAGTTTCCTTCTAGTTATAAAATTTCTTTTTTTCTTGGAACTTAACAAAATAAATAATAAAAAAAAACTATGTGATATATGTAGTATATAGCAGTGTCAAGTTTTCCTTAGTATCAAGGTCATGATTCTGTTCACTGCCTCTCTCAACACTTCCTTTACCTTCTCATTCCTCAAGCTGAATGAGATGAAATTTCTAGTCTTTTCATTAGATGAAATTTCTAGTCTTTTCTCTCTTTTGGCTTGATTTTCTCAGCTAAAAAATGTGCTAACATACTGATGTATACTTAATTAGAATGCTCTTCTATTATTCTGGTTTACAGTTCCTGAGTGGCAAATCCTTTAAAAACGTTATAGTCTTTTCTATAACAAATTTTCTTTCACTTTGATGATTGTCATGAGTAAGAGATAAAAGTTGATTTAGTTTTTTCTACATATGTAGGTATCCAGAGTCTCCCAATTCTTAAAGTCTTTCCCTAACATGTATACACCTATGAAAACAGTCCAGAGATGTTTAAAAGGAACAACAGTTCATGGTTCCTATTAACCATTTTAGATGATACCTCAAAAAGAAATAATGAGTGTCTTGCCCTTAGATTGTGCCTTGTGTCTAAAACCTACCTCCTACAAGTTCTATGAAGTATCTAATATATATCTGGCTGATCATTTGAGAGCACCATATATAGTGTGATAATATCAGAGAGGTATAAATTATACACAGGAAAGCAAAATAGAGGTAATTCAGCTCACTTAATTTACTTTGTCAGCTGACACCCTAAAACTGTACTTCAAGATCATCTAGTTTTTTCTTTATCCCACTATCTGAGAAATGATTATTTTGCAGAGACCACCCCATTTTAGGAAACTTGATGCTTTATTTATCTAGATATCACTTAGCACCTCCTTAATAAATCCTTAATAGATAAGTTAGCATCTCCTCTACTCTTTGCTACTGATCATGGCCACCTCCTTTTCTTTTCCCAACCTCCCTCTAAAACTTCCTCCAAGATAAAGTTTTCCCTCTTATTTTCTTTTTTCTTTTTATTATTTCAAGAAAGGTATTTTTAGTGCAAAGAATTAAAAAAATGCAAGTTCAAAAAAGAAAATTATTTTTAATCAAACTTCTTAGAGATACAGTGACATTTTGGTTCATATAATTTTAGGCTACTTTAAAGTTCAAATTATATACCTGAGTATCTAAAATAAATCATACTAGCAGACTATTTTGTAATCACCTTTTTTATTTTCCTTTTTCTCTTTTCTTTTCTTTTCTTTTTTTTCCATTTTTTAAAAACATTTCATTATTTTTCCATGTCAATTCCTGGAAATTTTCACAATCATTTTTGAGAATTGTATAGTGTTTGATTCTATCAGTGGGACTGTGATATATTTAGCAAGTTGCTTAGTGCTGAAAATTTAGGTGGTTTACATTTCTTGTTTGTATAAATAATGATCAAATAAATATTCTTCCACTTAATTTTTTTGTGCACTTGTCTTATTAATTTCTGAGAATCTTCTTTTCCAATAGGATGTTTGCCCTCACTGTTTGTTACTCAGTGCAAAAACCCAAGAAAGATTTGTTCTTATAATATTAGAGTTTACTTTACTAGAGCAGTTGATAATGTAAAATCACTTGCAGATATCTTTCATGGGTTCTTTGTCTGAGGGAATAGTTCTATATCACAGCTGGGCTCAGATAGCTGATGCCTCAATAGCATAGAAATAGTGTGCTTTTTATTTTTTAATCTTAATTTATGGTCTAAACTTCAGTTCTCTCATCTTAGAATGCTGGGCTACACATTTAAAGGGTCCGTCAAAGCCTCAGAGTCCTGCTATCCATACTGTTTGACTCCCTGACCCACCCCAAAGAGTATAACTTCTTTTATTCTCCAGTAAATAAATTCCTAAACGATTTGCTAAGTTACTGCATAGAAGTGGCTACCCACAAATACATATACTAATATAATAGCATGGGAAATTAACTTTCTGTGCAAGGCATATTGTTATCTGTTTTTTGTGTAACTTGTGTCATTATTTCCGTGAGGTTGTTCAATAGGCAAATTATAGTTTACATTTTATTTTTGTTTTCAGTAATAATAGACAAATAATTGTTGAGTTTTTGGTAGTTGCCAGACATGGTTGAAAGCAGTTTACTCTTTTAATTTTCATTATAATTATATGAGATAAGCACTATCTTTATTCCTATTTTTAAATTTTACTTTAAGTATATTTTACATTTTAAGACTCAGGTATTAATTAGATTAATGTGAGATAGTTTAAAGAACTGGATTCCAATCCTAGTTTTTACCACTTACAGCTCTTTTTTCATCAAATTAAATTTTTTACCTCTAAGTCATAGCTTCTTTATCAGAGAAATAAAGATAATTATAATGTTCAAAATGACCTGTGATGAGGTTGAAATAAAATCATATATGTGACAATAGCTAATAAATTTTTGCTAAAACATTGGTTAAGAAAGGAGATAAACAATTAACGCTAATTGTTTCTTATCTGAATTAATAACAAGTTGCAAAAACATTAATTTTTAATGCATACTTAACTTGAATCATTCCAGATTGGCTTATGACTCCATTCATTAAGAATATTGAAAGATCAGAGAGACTATACACAGAGAAGAAAATTTAACAAAAGCGATAGTATATTAGTAAATAAAACATATGTGAAAAAGTATACCTACATCGCATCAATTATATAATGTAAAATTTTCCTGTTTTATATGTGCAGATATAGGAAGAGGATCAAACTTTATCTATAAGTGTATGAATTCATAGCATTGTACTTTTGTACTTTGTATTTATTATTGTTTATTGCTAATTCTATTTCTAACTCAGAAATATCTGTCAAAGATGAAATAACCCTTACTAGGTCATTGACCTCCAACCCCATAATGAATACTTCTGTTTAGCAGTCTCACTACATATGCATCCAGCCATTGCTTGGATGACTTCAGTGATTAGCAAATTACTATCTTGCTTTAGCACTGGCTGGATGAAAAACGCTTATCTTGAGTGGAAAACTCTGTTTTTGTTTTTTTTTTTTAAACTTCCAAATACATGTTCATGTACTATTTTGTAGATCAAATATTAACCTTTTCACCACAACAGCCCTTCACTTTTAGGTTCTAGGTATCCTCCTTGCCCCACATCTCAGTGAATTCAGCACAACACAAATTCTAGAGTCTGCTTTTACAGATAAAGACAGTAATACCTGTGGTAAGTGGCCTTAAAAACTTATAGAGTAGATCTTCCCCAACTTCCATTTATGGGAGGCTGAAGCGGGAGGATTGCTTGAGACCAGGAGTTTGATATCAGCCTAGGCAGCATAGCAAGATCCCATCTCTACAAATATTTTCAAAAAACTAGCCAGGTATGGTGATGAGTAACTGTAGTCCTAGTTACTCTGGAGCTGGAGGTGGCAGGATTGCTTGAGCCCAGCAGTTCCAGGTTACAGTGAGCTATGACCATGCCATTGCCCTCCAGCTTGGGCGACAGAGCAAGACCTTGTCTCTAAAATCAATCAATCCATCAATCAAAAACTATTAAGTCTGAATTCTCAGGTATTTTTCCCCATGCAGGAAGACTATATTTTGTCTCTTTGCTTAATTCTCAATTATTTTAGTTATTCAGTAACTGATTTTTTTGAATATAGAAATTCACACAAGCAACTCATTTAGATGTGTCTAAGTGGACTCCTTAAGCATACTTACCAAGTGACAGCTCGGTGAAGGGAACTCAGTAAAGTTTTTGGTATTTCATTTTTACCTTCATGATTATTAGACTATCCTTCCATTAAAGCTTTTACTAAATAATCTTGAATATTATAAATGTTTTACCAAACTAAAGGTGACTTGAATTTTTTTTACATTTACTTTCCATTTCTGAATAAAGTTTCCTTTCTTCTGTCAGTTTCTCTTTTAAGTAAGTGGATGAATTATGTTTTTTCATGGGCTTATTTTCCTTAGAGATTTAGATGAGAATGGCTCTTGGGGATATGGGTCAAAAGAAGCTAATTATTATTGTTATAAAAGAATGTTGGTTCTGAACTTCCTAATCACAAAGTTTTAGGCTGTCTACAAATAGACCAGTTAGAATTTCCTTGGGGATTTTCTTCAGACATTTTGCTTCTTCCATTTAAAGAGAAAATAATACCTTAAAAATAATCTAGAAGGAAGCTAAAAACATGGAATACTTTTCATCCTTCTTAAATTATTGATATAATGGGAAATATTCTACAACAATAAATGTTCTAGAGTTTGAGATATCATGTACTACTTCTCTCTATGTTAGTGTATTTTTTTTAAAAAGTTCCACATGAAAATAGGGTCATAGTAAATTCTATAATATTTTTCCTCCCTGTCTTGTCCCTGTTAAAAAAAGATGAGCCATTGTGTAATGATCACATCATGCCGTTATCAAAACACCTCATGTACCCCATAAATATATACAACTATACACCCACAACAATTAAAAATAAAAAACTTTTAAAAGATGAGTCCTTGTACAGAACTCAGCCTAGTACAACTCTGTTCTTCCATGCCCTTGACTTGCCTTTCATAGCTACAAACTTTTCATAAACTTCTCTGTATTCTCTGATATATATATTTTTGATGAAAATTCTTTCAAACATTTTTTACTTAAATAAAAAACCCTCTTTTTTTATTATCTTGACAGTAATCTGACTTTCACTTGAGGACACTGGTTTCACTGAGTTAAATACACATTTTCATTTTCATGTACAAGAGCAATAGAGTTACATAGCTGCA